TTCATGTGACTTCGCTGACGCAACAATATCATTTTTCTATGTCATTTCCAATCACATTTCATTTGACTTTGTTCTCTAAGAATATTGTTGTAATGTATTATTCTGTCGTTAAAAAGAGGTTGGAAGATAGCGTTATGGTTTTGTTTACCTATTATTATTCTTTCTGTTGTTTGGTTCAACTATGAATTTTTAGTTATATTAAAACGCTAACCAACTTTCTAGCTATAACACATTGAATTTGAGTATGTATGTAATACGAAACTGACACAAGCTTCCCCTTAGCGGTAACATACATATACCAGTGTTATGAAAAATTATGTAAATTAGTTTGCCACACAAGATGTAACTTCGTGCTTTAACTACTCAATAAAAACCCTAATTGTCCTGAGCTTGAACCAATTAGTTCACGATATATATATAAAATAAATTACCTGATTGTTGCTTGATATTGTTATTGTTCTTGAAGTGGTTTAATTTTGGATATTGAGTTTTTTCGAAATTAGGATTTTTTTTCTTTTTCTGGTTCTTTTCCCAATTTCTTTATTTATTGAAATTAATAACAATCACATTCATGTTGTATTGTTTATTAACGTTTGTATCAAGTCCTGGCCAGGCACGGTTTGTTTGTACTTAAGCACAAAGCTACACCATGGGCTATCTGTGCTCTGCCCACCACGGGTATCGAAACCGCAGACATACCGCTGTGCCACTGGGGTCGGCCAGGCACGGATTTACTACCTCTTTTATGGTAAATGATGAACTTTATATTCTAATTGTTTGAATGTTTTATTCTGGCCAGGCACGGATTTACTAACTTTTTTTCTTGTAAATGATGAACTTTATATTCTAATTGTTTGAAAGTTTTATAAAGTTCATCATTACAAGAAAAAAGTTAGTAAATCCGGGCCTGGCCAGAATATTCTAATTGTTTGAAAGTTTTATTCTGGCCAGGCCCGGATTTACTAACTTTCATTTGGTGTTGAATATTGTAATCATACTTTTAAAAAAGAATTTTAAATCTGCTATGTGTGATTACCACATCAAGAACAAACAGTCCATAAATAAAAATCAGTTCTTTTATTGATCAAAGTTGTAGATTAATAAATAGGAAAAATACAGTAATCCCTCTAACTCTGAACATATGGGGCTAAAGCCATGCCGAGTTATTGAAGTAATTTCCTCCCATCCTAAATCACAACTTTCTGGGCCCAAATAAACTACTATATACTACTGTTATTTGAAAATAATTTAGATTAAAAGAACATTAAAATGAATACTTAACAGCACTGCAGGCCAAGGAAGATGATGATTTAAGTTTATGGTGACAGAGGTGATTGTAGGAAGACTTAACACACTTTGGTAAATATTGTACACTGCTTTATCAATTAAAAATTAAATACATTTTGAATACACTAAATTATTCACTGTCTAAAGACATCAACTGTCATGGGGGTAATGCGAAGGAAGCTGGCACTACTAGAATTTGTGTTTGAGAAAGAGTATCCAGATGTTGCAGGCAGAGTTATAGAGACTCTACTACTGGTGGAAGGAAGATTTCATCTGGGTTTTTTTTTTTTTTTTTGACAAGGGTTTGAAAAAGTCTGATATCTTCCCCTGTTTGTAATTGCTGTGCTAACATTTGATGACACCTGCCCTGATTTCTCTCAGATTTGCATAGTGCTATTCCAAATCAGGCAACTGCTCAACTGCCTCCAGTTGCATGGGAGAACTTGTAAGGACTCTTCTTGCACAGTTAGAAAGTCTGAATATTTTTCAGGGATGCTGAGTTATCAAGGGATTACTGTATAGGTTAATAAATAAATTTATGTTGATGTACTGTTGAAGGCCATTGAATTGATATTGATTCTGATTTTCAAGTATCCACATAGATTTAAGAATCATAAGTAAGTATCCTTTTTCTTGGAGTATTGTTAAGTGGGAAATGTCCATTCAGTATATGCATATATGAACGTTTTTATACATCCTAAAGAGTGTTTTGTGGTCAAATATTCACATTAACAGAAATTCTAAATTGAGTTAATTCCTTTGCATCTATTTTGCTGTTTTTGTTTTTTATACAGAGTGCGAAAGCATAGTTCATATTTATGATTAATCAACAAAGAATAGTGTTTTTAATTATTTGTGGCCAGCCTTACCTATCTTTAGCTAAATTTCAACTCATTTTATTATTGTTCTTACAATGGTAAAAAAAATTCACTTAAGTATCAAGTTATTTTCCATGAACTCTGGTTACAGACTTTATCAACTTGAAGTTCAATTTAACTTGATTCTGTAACACAAATTGGGATTAAACACTTCCTTGTATGATTGAAAACCCATGTAATGATAAATAATACTTATTCATGTTTAAACACAACTTGTGTCTAATTACAGAATTGAATAAATTTTGAATGAATTAGCTTTAATCGTTTTTCATATACAGTTTAAATGTTTCGTTTGGTGTAACAGAATTTCCTGCAAAAAATTTCATTTAATAAAAATGTTTATATAAAACATTAAATAAAACTTAAATTTGAGTTTTTTTTAAATATTAGTGATTTATTTTCTATTACAAATTATTTATCTTTGTGTTGATCTTTCTAGTTTAGTAAAATATTATACTTAAGTACTTGTTTATTTACATGCGTAAATGTGTATTTCTAGTGTTTATCTAATAGTTTTTTAACTTTTTTTCAGGAGTTCTACTTGTTCCGAGATGGTGACATTCTCGGGAAATGGGAGAGCTGAGAGGGAAATTGTTTTATTTTTGTGTTTAGGGAATCATTTTATATAGTACTTTGAGATTAACGTGTTATGTTATGAAGTTGCTGTTTTTCCTTAAAGTTGAAAAAGAATAGTAAAAGTTCCATTTTCCAGTTTATAGAAAATTTTTCTTTCCAGGCCATAAACTGTATTATTTTTCCATTATGTACATTATAGAATAAATCAGCAATAACAAAAACTTGGTACTTATTTTAGTCAATAATATTAAAGGGATGACAACAGTTTAATGTAACGTTTAATGTGTTGGGGTCTAATGTAGTATAGATTTCATCAAGATCACTTAAAGTTTCGAGTCCTCAGAATGTTGCAAACACAAGTGCTCCAACTATTACTCCATCACAAGTTTGAGTCTCCAGATTAAAACTTTCAAACAATTAGAATATAAAGTTTATCATTTACAAGAAAAAAAGTTAGTAAATCCGGGCCTACCAAATTAAAACTTTCAAACATTTAGAATATAAAGTTCATCATTAACAAGAAAAAAAGTTAGTAAATCCGGGCCTGGCCAGAATAAAACTTTCAAACAATTAGAATATAAAGTTCATCATTTACAAGAAAAAAGTTAGTAAATCTGGGCCTGGCCAGAATAAAACATTCAAACAATTAGAATATAAAATTCATCATTTACAATAAAAGAGTTGTGTAACATGGCTCACACCTCAAGCTTCTCTCTTGTGTACCAATAATACACATTGAGTTGTGTAACATGGCTCACACCTCAAGCTTCTCATTTGGTGTTCTCCTGTTCTCTTGTGTACCAATAATACACATTGAGTTGTGTAACATGGCTCACATCTCAAGCTTCTCATTTGGTGTTCTCTTGTGTACCAATAATACACATTGAGTTGTGTAACATGGCTCACATCTCAAGCTTCTCATTTGGTGTTCTCCTGTGGCTGGTCGTACATTGGTGGCAGTTAAGTCATCAAATTTCTTTTGTCATTTGATTCTTGTACTTGGAGGACTTCCATTGTCATTGGATGAAAACATTAGAAATTTTTAAAAGCAGTTTTCACATCGTTGTTCATTTTGTGCAAGAGTGCATGAACTGCTGTATTTCTCACAAGGTACTGAATTTTTGTTGCTCTCACTGTCACAAAATAGGAGCTTAAATCATAGCTATTGGGAGTTCATATCATCTACTGTGGAATTTTCTACTCTGTTGTCATGAGTTGTGACTATATTCTTATAAAGTACTGATTGTATTGAATGAGCAGAACCATGAAATTTTCACCTCCTATGATCTGTATAGTGTGTTTATCCATTTTTTGTTTTTCAGATGCCTTGCTTTTATGACTTAAAAACTAACCAGTCCTTCTGAGATACCCATAAGCTGAACAAAATGATGTGACTATAACCAAAGAAAATATTCCATTACCAGCCACTAACCAGTCCTTTTGAAATACCCATAAGCTGAACAAAATGATGTGACTATAACCAAAGAAAATATTCCATTACCAGCCACTAACCAGTCCTTTTGAAATACCCATAAGCTGAACAAAATGATGTGACTATAACCAAAGAAAATATTCCATTACCAGCCACTAACCAGTCCTTTTGAAATACCCATAAGC